AGAATAGAATAGAATAGAATAGAATAGAATAGAATAGAATAGAATAGAATAGAATAGAATAGAATAGAATAGAATAGAATAGAATAGAATACTTTATTGGCCAAGTGTTATTGGACACACAAGAAATTTGTCTTGGTGTAAATACTCTCAGTATACATAAAGAAAGGGTACATTCATTAAGAATAAAGAATCATAATGTACAACACTTAATGATAGTCATAGGGTACAATCAACAATCAAATCATACTAGGAAACAGTCAAGTGGGAGGGGATGGGTGATAAGGAGTGATGAGAAGATTAACAGTAATAGTAGTGCACACTTTGTAAATAGTTGAACAGTGTTGAGGGAATTATTTGTTTAGCAGAGTGATGGTTTTTGGGGAAAAACTGTTCTTGGGTCTAGTTGTTCTGGTGTGCAGTGGTCTATAGCATCGTTTTGAGGGAAGGAGTTGAAACAGTTTATGTCTGGGATGTGAGGGGTCTGTAAATATTTTCACAGCCCTCTTTTTGACTCGTGCAGTATACAGGTCCTCAATTGAAGGCAGGTGGGTAGTAATTGTTTTTCTGCAGTCCTAATTATCCTCTGAAGTCTGTGTCTGTCCTGTTGGGTTGCAGAACCAAACCAGACAGTTATAGAGGTGCAGATGATAGACTCAATAATTCCTCTGTAGAACTGTATCAGCAGCTCCTTGGGCAGGTTGAGCTTTCTGAGTTGGCGCAGAAAGAACGTTCTTTGTTGTGCTTTTTTGATGATGTTTTTGATGTTAGGTGTCCATTTTAGGTCATGTGATATAGTAGAACCTAGAAATTTGAAGGTCTCTACTGTTGATACTGTGTTGTCTAGTATTGTAAGAGGTGGTAGTATAGGAGGGTTTCTTCTAAAGTCTACCACCATTTCTACGGTTTTGAGTGTGTTCAGTTCCAGATTGTTCCGGTAATACCATGAGGCAAGTTGTATAACCTCCTGTCTGTATGCAGATTCATCGTTGTCTCAAATGAGACCAATCACTGTTGTGTCATCAGCAAACTTCAGTATTTTAACAGATGGATCGTTTGAGATGCAGTCATTGGTATATAGGGAGAAGAGAAGTGGAGATAGCACACAGACTTGGGGGGGCCTTGTGCTGATTGTACAGGTATCGGATGTGATTCTGCCTAGCTTCACCTGCTGCTTCCTGTCTGTTAGGAAGCTTATGATCCACTTACAAGTATGTTCAGGTACTGCTAGTTGGTTTAATTTACTTAGAAGAGTGTTTGGAATGATGGTATTGAATGCTGAACTGAAGTCTACAAAGAGGACTCTTGCGTAGGTATTTGGAGATTCAAGGTGTTGTAGGATGTAATGCAGAGCCATGTTAACAGCATCATCTGTCGATCTATTTGCTCGGTATGCAAACTGCATGGGATGTAACAGCGGATCCGTGATGGTTTTCAGGTGGGACAGCACAAGCCTTTCAAAGATTTTCATAACTACAGATGTTACAGCAACTGGTCTGTAGTCATTCAGTTCCTTGATGGAGGGCTTCTTTGGCACTGGGATGATGGTGGAATGTTTGAAACAGGAAAGAACATAGCACATCTCTAGTGATCTATTGAAGATTCGGGTGAAGATGGGGGCCAATTGGTCAGCACAGACTTTTAAGCAAGAAGGAGTTATCTTGTCTGGCCCTGATGCTTTTCCTGGCTTCTGTCTGTGTAATAGATCTTGCACTTCTTTTTCTGTGATCACCAGAGGTTGTGAGCCCAATGGATTGGGGCCAGTTATAGGAGGCTTGGCTGTTGTTGGTGTGTTTGAGACATGGGTTGTGGAGATAGGTGGCTGTAGTTTCTTTTCAAACCTGCAGTAAAACACATTCAGGTCATCTGCTAGTTCTTGATTTCCTTCTGCCTGGGAAGGAAGTTTGCTGAAGCCAGTGATGTTTTTAAGAGTTTTCCACATGTTTGCTGGTTCATTTGTTGAGAATTGATTCTTTAACTTTTCAGAGTAGCTTCTTTTTGCTGCTCTGATCTCTCTTGTTAATATGTTTCCGGCCTGATTGTATAGCATTCTGTCACCTTTTCTGTAGGCTTCCTCTTTGGAACAACGTAGCTGCTTAAGTTTAGCTGTGAACCAAGGTTTATTGTTACTATATATTTGAAAGTTCCTTGTTGGTACACAAGTCTTCGCAGAAGCTAACATATGATGTTACAATATCTGTGAGCTCATATAGATCTGCAGAGGCATCTTCAAAAACATTCCAATCAGTGCAATCAAGGCTGGCCTGGAGTTTCAGCTTTGCCTCATCCGACCAAGTCTTCACTGATAATTGTTGGTTTAATGGTTTTAAGTCTTTGTCTGTAGGCAGGTACAAGGTGAATCATGCAGTGGTCAGAGTGTCCCACAGCTGCTTGTGGTAAAGACCTATAAGCATCTTTTACTGTTGTGTAGCAGTGGTTTAAAGTATTTTTGCCTCTGGTGGGACAATTTACATGCTGGAAATATTTTGGGAGCTCTTTCCTTAAATTTGCTTGATTAAAATCTCCTAAAATGATGGGAAGGGAACCTGGGTGTTTGGCTTCAGCTTCCATAATTTGATCAGCAAGAGTTTGTAATGCCTTGTTTACACAGGCTTGTGGAGGAACATACACAGCTATTAGGAGAAATGAGGAGAACTCACATGGAGAGTAAAATGGCTTGCAGTTGATGTGTAAAGTTTCATCACAAAACTTATATATTATCGTTATATCCTGAGACCAGCTGTTGTTGATATATAAACATAATCCTCCACCCTTTGTTTTACCAGATGTCTCTTCAATTCTGTCTGATCTAAATGTCTGAAATCCTGGGATGTATATGGTGTTGTCCCCATGAATTTGTGGATTAAGCCAAGTTTCAGTAAAACAAAGAACAGCTGAATTATGAAAATCAGAATTCCATCTATTTAAGAGATGAATTTCATCCATCTTGTTAGCCAGTGAGCATAAATTAGTCAGAAAGATTGAAGGGAAAGGAGTTTTTTTTCCCCTATTCCTTATTCTGTTTAAAATTCCTGCTCGTTTACCTCGTCTCCTCTTCCAGCATGGTCACTTCTTTGCTTTCTTTGTTGTAATCCATAGCACCAGGGAATTGGTTAGAATCTCCTCCACGTTTGCAAAGACAGGTGG